AAGCCCAAACCCAACTGATGTGAAAAATAAACACAACGGAAAATAACACTTTGGAATTAATACCTGTTCCCATCAAAAAGTTCGCCAAGAGAAGGTATCAGGACTTAATGACACAAAACATGCATTATGGCAATACCGTTGGCAAAGGTTAAACACGTCTGTGACCAAGCACAGCTCTTTCCTTCACACGTTGTGCATGACCTGCATTACACCCTGAATAAACCGTGACAGTTGTCTCCAGCAACACAAAGGGAATGAGCCAGTTAACATCTGCTGTAGTCAGGGGGTGGTTTTGTCCTCATCCAGCCCTACCTAGGACAATTGGGAACCGAGGTGTCCAAGAGGATGACCTTTTCGAGACCTTCCTCCTCTGTGCTCTAGCACAGCTGGTCTAATTGTAGTTTGCCCATTCGCCGAAGGATACACTGGGCATCACACTGCAAGATCGAGTCGTCTGGGTGGTTTGGGTGCTGCATTGCAATGGCTTGTGGGAACTCGCTTAGCATCCTCTGCTGGAAAGCTTCCAGCCTCTCATAGTCGTGGCCCCGACAGACATACTCTTTGTTCTGCAAGAAGGACAAGCAGAAATTAGTCACCTTAAAAGCAAGTTAAATTCTATCTGCTTTTATTGCACTTGAAATTTTACTGCTTCAAAACCAAAGATAAAAGACAATGTCAATATGCTAATCTGAGAGTAAAATGGGCAGTTAACACAGCTGATATATTTTATTCCTTCCTTTTTCTTTACGATGTATTTCAAGAAGCGGTGAGTAAGCAGACTCTCAACAGAAAGATGCCTCCGATCCACGCACACGTAGCCTTCAGTCCTACTGCCTTTTCTTACTCGCTTTTCAGACAGCCGAAAAGGGACTCTCTCTCAGTTGGACTATACTGAAACATGTCAGTCAGAACTTAAGACTAAGTCCCCAGCTTGGCTGTTCCACACTGGGCAAGCTGCTGTCAAATACAGTTTTCACCAGATGGATAAAAGTCCCGAGGATTTCACAGAACAGAGGGAGATTTCTGTTTGTCAATTTACCAGTTATCCTTAGGGAGAAGTCGTAATGAACAAGTGTTCACAAAAATCATTGTGTAATCACTGCTGTGCTGTCACAGCCATACAGTCTACCTCTGATCGTGCTGAACAACACATCCTCGTGAACTCCCCTGTCTGGAGCTGAGTAATATGGCAATGCCTTACCAAGAATTCTCAGTGACCACTTAGCAAATTCCCCTTCAGCCCTAAAAGCACTTTCCTCTTGATGAACAAAATTTCATTTCTGCTAGTAATGGAAAGCTTGCATTTAGAGAGGCCTCTTGAGGCATTAAACCATTTGTGCAGAGTTCCTGGATGCTTTTTGAGCCATCTCAAACCCTGAGCAGCAAGATACAAGATTTCTACAGTCCTCAGTCTCAAAAAGATTGTATCCCAGTGTCTTAACCCTATTAACACAAACCACAACTGATTGTTGTTAACATCTCCTGATGCAAGACCAATCCAAGTCGGCAAACGCTCTAATTCTGGCAGTTCTAACTCACATACACATAACAATAACTCGAAGGACAGGGAGATTTTTCCCCTTCATAAAACAAAGAAAGAATCCCAGCAAACAAGAACAGTTCCCCCATTCTATTTCTTGCATTTAGAAGCTGGAGTGTATGCAATTATGTGGTGTTAATTGCTCTGGAAAAAGGTTCTGGCCGAGCAGCTCTTGATCTTGTAGCAAAATCAAAGCAGCCAAGCCCAGTCACAAAGGGTGGGCAAGGACTGCAGTTATCTTTGGCTTTGCACTTCAGCTTTACGGAGCAGATCTCATGTTCCAGCTGCGACGTATGTCACTTTGTGTGCATCACTCACAGCAACCAATGAACCGGGAGAAACACTGCATGATGAATCTTGACAGTTCAGTCTGTAACGCCTAAACTTTGCAGCTATTCTTAAATTTGGAGTGAGTCCACGTTTGAAGGTGAATCTCTTCACGACACTTACTGCGTTCTCTATTTTAGCGTTCAATTGCAGCAATCCACAAAACTGTAAGCCTATAAATAAAGTTATTGTGATTCTAAAAATAATGCCCTGAAAACACCTCAGAGCTAAATTTAATAGACTTTTCAGGCAGATGCCAACAAGGGATCTCAGCACGTGGCTTGGCAGGCCTTACTTGAACTTCTGGGAGGTGGAAGACATGGACAGTTTTAATTTAATTGTGTAGGAAGACTAGGAAGAGATGCAGAATTCATAGAAACATGAACAATGGCTTTTCCAGACAAAGGGTCTTCAAAATCAAAGATGTAGAAAGAAGTGGTGATTTTCTGTCTTAAGCTACGCAGCAATAGGAAAATAAATGAGACAAGGGCATCAAGTTATTTCAACACTTCAAATCACTCCCATACCCGTTTGAAAATTTTAAATCCATGTAAATCTTTTTCTTCTCTGGAATAGCTGCTTCCAATCTCTTTACAGTGTGATCCACGCTGATGTGACTGCTAATGGGCTTAGCCTGTGCCTCGCAATGTGTATGCTCTATGGATCGTTAGAGAGAGAAAGGAGGAGGGTGACTTCTAATGAGATTGCTGCATTAGTAATCTGCTATCCGAAGGACCGTGACCAAATATAATTGCGGAATTAACAGGGATTATAATTATGTACGCTCACGTTCGCTGTCAGCGTCTCCAGCAAGGGTTCGTATCGTGGCGCCGATTCAGAGTGAGTGCTGTGTAACACACGCGTCGGCCGTGCAGGACCAAATATAATTGCGGAATTAACAGGGATTATAATTATGTACGCTCACGTTCGCTGTCAGCGTCTCCAGCAAGGGTTCGTATCGTGGTGCCGATTCAGAGTGAGTGCTGTGCGCTGAAAACCCGGCGTAACACACGCGTCGGCCGTGCAGGATCCAGGGTAAACTGCAGGATCCATAATACCGAGTAAGATAAGCTCGATTCACTGATACTACTTCAAATGTAGGAACACTTGTGTGCTGCAATGATCTGTTGTCATTCATTCTGAAACATCTGTTGTCAGATACGAAAAAAGGTTGTTGGTGTTCTCCGTACATCTTCGTGAAAAAGTAGGTGCCGCTTCACACCAAAACGCTTGCCATTTCCTCGGATTCCTCCCCACGTGTTCTACACACCAATTCAGGCTGCGACATTATGGCGCTGTTCGACTTCGCCTTTGGATAACACGAAGGCACCCTTTATCCGCTGGTATTTGTGGCTTGGTAACTCCAACTTGCCTTTAATTGCCCGCCCGCGTTTCCACTAAAAGCCTTGAGTAAACACCACTGTTGAAATCCTAGTTAAAAACTCCCAAACACTTCGTAGTCAGAGGCAATTTAAAAATGGTACAGTTTGGCTTTTTGTAGCTTCTTACTGTGTAACTCGAGCAGTGCCATCTCTTGTCAAGCCATTTCTTTAAGGAGAACACAGTACAGGCACCTCCCGTCTTTGAAAGCACGCTCCCAGTTAGCTTGTCCCGTCAAGCTAGATGGCCTCCACCATCGATTTTCAGGCAGCTCTTACAGCAGTTGTCAGATTATATTCCTTCCTTGCTCTCAGCCAGCAACTGGACATCGTATGAACAAATATCCATTCCAAGTTTGATTTCTCATTAGGAATAGAAGATAATTTCACTTTTTAAATGTATTGCAGACCCAACTGATCCTGAGGACACCAGCAGACAGTAAGCTCAAAGTGAGGAGGTCTCCAGAGGAGCTGCTAGGCTTTTTGTTGGAGAGAGGGGAAGAATTTTTGCATGTAGATAGCGTAAGAGAGTCATCAGTCTGGTATCAGAATCACTGTGTCACGTGAGACTTTTTAAAGTGTGATAATTTGAGATGATGAACATTAGTTGAGTCATGACCCAACATTGCTGCAATACAGCATTTTGCTTAATATAGAGGCAATTTGTGCTGCATCTGCAGATCGACAAAAATACACATAGGCATGAGTCAAATTCCTGGTCTCCGTTCCCAAGAACGTTCCCAGTGGGCCACATCCTTCAGTTCAGCCAGAAAGCTGAGTCTACTTGTGCAGGCGTAAAAACCACGCTGAATGGCAGACATGGCTCCACAACAAAAATGCAAAGCCTTAACTGCTACTCTGAGCCTGCCCACCTTGTCATATTTTGTGTAAGTCTGGCTTACCCGCAGGAAAAACGGGAATTTCCGACCATAAAAACCAACTCTGAAAAACTCGGGTTCTAAGCGCTGCTGTTCCATGATATTATCGTAATAGGTAGCTTCCATTTTCTGTGGAGGAAAAAGACAGGTGCTGTCAAACCCGTAAAGCTGCACTTAAAACATCAGAATCTCAAGACACATTAAAATACTACATTACTCTTTTGCCCCCACAATTTTTTATGGAAAGACAGATTTTTTTTTTTTTTTTGAAGATAAAAATTATAATCAAGCAGTCTGCGTGGTGGAACAGACTATAGTATCACCATGCTCACTTTACATTTTTGGAGGTGACATACGAAAATTTTCTGCTATATCTCATTTGAAATTAAACAGGTCTGGCGTATCATTTTCTTTGCATTGCAGAATTAATGGCAGAGCTGAGATTAAGATCTGCTGCCTGGCTCACAGTGTCCTGTTCTCTCCCACAGCTCAAAATCTATACCACTGTCTGGAAAATTGTATCAGCTCAACTGGGTTTGCCTTAATTGAGTTGAGGGGCATGAAAAAGGATGAAACAAAATTAAATCTTCTACAGCTCTGTGCACCAGTGGGTTTAATATGTTAGAAAAAAAGGGGTTTGGAAAAAGTTAAAGGGACTTTTCTCTAGTTCCAGTCACGAGTTTTGTGGCACTGGGCTAGCACTTATATCAAGAGTGGGATTTCAAGACCCCTTGCCAAAGTGAATTTCAGCTGGAAGGCTCCTGGGAGTTTCACTGGGGGAAAAATAGCTTTTTAAAGAGAAGAATCAGTCCGACATCATTGCTTCCACTGCAGGGAACCCTAACAGCAGCTCGGACTTGGAATGCTGCATCAAGGTTTGTCCTCGGCTCCCACACGCACTTACGCCTTTTCTACAATGCAGAGGGTCCCAGAGCAATTGCAGGAAGACCAAAGGAGTGCTCTGAATGGTGTGAATGGCAGAGAGAAAAAAACTCTTTCAAGTGGGGAGAAATTCAAATCAGCTCAGGTCAACATTGATTTAGGAAACTTGAATGGAAAAGAGGGGAGTGAAAGGATGAGCTGAATGGGTTACGCTGGTCAGCTGAGCTGCTCTTCACCTGCCAGTGGGTTAAATCCAAATGATAAATAGGTAACAAGAACAGCTAATTTACTGGTGGTTTAGGAAAGAAAGGCTTGATGCACCACCTGACTAAGCCTTTACTAAGTTTGTTTGCTTATCATTCATGATCACTTTCCCCATACGGTATTTCCCATACACTGGGAGAAATTTCCACACTGCTCTGTTTCAGAAGTCTGCAAGCCACGAGAGCACGACCAGGGCAGTCACCCGCACTCTCCTGAGGGCCCCTTTGAAGAAAGCTGGGCCTTCAGAAGTGCAGTTCACAGGACCTGGTTACACAGGTATCTCACATGAGAATAAATTGGAATTTTAAAGAGAATTTAAACCACTGCAAAGAAGATTACTTCCACGCAGCATAAATCTCAGAAGTGGATATATGCGTGCTACCCCAGGGCCAACAGCAGCAGAGCTGTTTTGACATTCATAAAGCTTTAAAACAACAGGCAGAACTTTGACTTTCTCTGCTTAAAGCACGATGCTGCAAATGTGCCCTCACTTCCTCACGTTTGGTTTTACCAGAGGAGCAGATTCTTGTAAACGGACAAGAATGCCATAAGCATTTGCCTCTCCATTCCTTCTCTCTTGTTCCTCTTACGCCAGCTGAGGCACAAGCTGTCCTTGGGTATTTTTGGAATGAAAATGAAATACCAATATATATACATTAAAAAAAAAGATGTTTTATGCAAAAATACATAAATATGCAATTGCAGTAGCTAGCCCAGCTCCTCTGTGTGCGCTGTCTCCACATACTCGTGGGAGTTTACTGCTGGCAGGCTTAGGAATTACTTCAATGGACCTACAAAGTCACTGAAAGGAATCAGTGGCAAAGGAGGCACTGTAAATGCACGGAGCCGTGCAGGGAATATGGTTATTTTTTAAATTCGGAGTGTTCTGACAGGAGGGCGAAATTCCCTGGGGAATGAGTCTGCAAGGAGAGGAATTGCTGCTACTTACCCGAATCCAGCTGAGGCTCTGATAATCATAGAGACTTTCGTACTGTATGGCCAGTTCTCTGCACAGCGGGATTCCGAACTCCCAGCTCTGTGAAACCAAAGCACATCACACTCACAGCAAACAGAATGTTGTTGCCAGCTCAGCTGAGAGGAATATGGAAACTGCATTTTGGGAATTCATTTGGTACGAAATTCCAGGGATTAGATGTGAAAATGCAGTGTGATGAAAGAGTTTCCATTAAATATCAGATGAATTCCTTCTGCAGGATGGTACCAGAGAGGTGTTCCATTGAAATCACACACATACTGCTTGCTACCAACTGAGAATTTATTTGGAGAAGGATGATACAACTAACAAATTTTCTTCTTGTTAGACACCCCTTCAACCCAGCCCCAATCTCTCCTTTGCTTTCTGCACTAAAACTCCCTGCAGTAGAGAGGTAGGGCTTAGCTCCCTGGCAAAGTGCTCCCCTTCCCAGGGCTGCTACTTCCGACTGAAAGCATGAAACTGCCAAGCGAAGGCAAACACTCACATACAGAGGGAAAACATCCTCAGGACTGACCTGCATGTTGCACTGAATGAATACCCATAGTCAGAACTGAAAGCAAAACTCATTTCTTCAACTTACAGACTGCATACAACACATCTTCTCTAGCCCCTGTACTGGTCACCCTCGGAGGTAGGGCAGGAGGAGACTGAGTTGGGGTTCACCCACATGGAGAGAGGGACTCCCCTCTTCCCTCGCTCCGCTTTTACACCCTGGAGCCGAACTCTCCCATCATCTTTTCCCTGCATAGACTGGAAGCCTTTGGGGGGAATGACTGACTGTTACCGTACTTCAGTAAAGGACGTAGAACAACAAGGGCTTGATTGAACCTTTATTGCATTAACTTTTGTGCATTACTGGGCTGACTTGCCAGCTGGTTTAACTGGGACCCCGCTGCAGTGAGATCAGAATTAAGGTGTGAGTTAGACTATCACCTCAAGTTTAAAGAATACTAATAGAACACTGTAAATTACTGGCAATGGTAACTATGTAAAACATTAGCACTTAATAAGGAAAGAGTTTTTCTGGTTACATGTACTTTCACTTAAAAAAGTGAACCTCTGCACTGTTGATTTATGTATTAGGTCCTTCACAATGCTTCCCTTTATGCACACGTCTGCTGGTCTCTCATCCGTAACACCAGCAAAGCTTTCTCTGAACAGCAAAACTGCCAAGGGTAAAAAATTTTTTATTAAGAGAAGGGATAGTTTTAAGAACTAGAAAGGCAAAAATAACAGTGTTACATCTCTTTAGCCTCACTTTACTTAAAAAAAACCCTTACATAAGAAATAGCTAAATAAAGGACGCTTTCAGAAGCAGTTTGGATACTCTGACAGTATTAGCAGCTTGGAATGATGGGAAGCCAGAGATTTATTTAGCTAAATAGAATAGGAAATGAACTGAAATACCAGTTACTTGACCCCTCAGGACATTACTCAGGTTTTTGTGATCTCAAATTAACAGGATTTTTGCTGGGGGTTGTCAAAGTCTGTAACATACAAACTGATACACTGAACTGGGATCAACAGCATTAATGAGTTACGTGTTTATGTTTGCAAACCCAAACCCCGTGGCATTTTTTTGGTAGGTTTCAACATTCTTTACAGAGATACTATACCTAGATTTTAAGTCCTTAGGTGATCTAGATTTACTCAAAAGAATGGAAAAGTCTCTTCTAAAACCTCTGGCCAGGAATAAATAAAGTCACTCAGTGTGAGCAGAGTCTCACTTCCAAATGGGATGCTGTGGCTAAAGCCTACATAATTCTCTAATCTGTCTGCAGGAAAGAAGCAGAAGGCTAGCTGGCTGTCTTCCTTTGAGGTGATCCTAAAGTTGCAACCTTTTCATGCTCCTTTTCTGATGTGAACTAAATTACCAGCGTGTAACCACATCTTCTTTCTCTTTATACCAGCCCTTCTACACGTGGCCTGATCCTATTCCTGTCACCTTAACTCAGGCTTTCTTTGTTACATTTCCACACAGAGAAACTCCACTGTGCTAGCTGAATGTTCTGCAGGTACACGATGAGACAGAGCAATGAAGGGACACAAGAGACAGGTAACTTCTTAGAGAGAAAAGAGAGTTTGCAGGTGTTTGAAAGGAGAAGAGAATGAATGGATATCTGAGTCACTGGGATTGTCCTTTTTACAATCTGTGATGTTAATGAGCACCATCTTCATGGTGTAGAAGTTTAATATGTAATTCCATGTGCTCCTCAAGGGTCACTTCCCTCTAATGCATCATTATTCCTCCCTTCAAACAGGTTCCTAATGTCTCCACTGTTCGCTTCCCTCATTACTGCTTTCTGTTCGCTGACATCCGTTTGCATGTTCTGCATTACGTCCTTCACTCGAAAAGCACATTCATACCACACTTCCCGCAGCTTTCTCCTGCGGCACCAGCAACCCTCACTCGAGCTCTGCTGACTGCACACAGGAGGCACCGAGACAGCCAACATCTCTGAGGGGCAGCCTTTATTTACTCGTGTCTCAGCGTGCGGATTTCTTTTGGAAATACGATTCACACGAGGATGCACAAGAGAAATGAGTTCCAGTGTTGGGTATGGAGCACATGATCTCAAAATGAACTGCTTGGAAATGCAGCTTTGGGTCTCTCGCAGCTCTTGGCTGGCACCAAGGAGAATACACGCTGTGATGAGAGCTGGTCCCAATTTTTAGGTAATAGAATCTAGCAGTGAACTGGACAGAAAAGGGTTATGTAGTTTTGGAGGTGTTGCTGTCCAGGAGCATGATCAGTGGGGTTCAAACTGTTCCATTCCCAGTTTTCTTCAACTAGAAACCCCTAAGTTTTAACAGACAAAATCTAACGGTGAGTTTGAACAAAAGTAGTCTTCATTTAAAGCCACTGCACCCATGGCCAGCGGAGCCACAAACCGTTCAAAGCACAGCAGAAAGCGGTTGGAAGGGGCACACGACCAGAGTGTCGGAAGGGGCATGCGACCAGAGTGAAGGCTAAAAGGGCTTGGGAACAGTTACTCAACTCTGCACCCCACAGCAGTGCTCCAGGCCTGCCCTGCGCCACGCCACCACGCTCCTCGTGTCACAAGACAGCCCCTGGCCATAGCTTTCCCCCATTCCAGTGCTGAGAAAATTTTCCCATTGACAAATGCAGAATTTTTACATCCTTTTCATGCTGCTTTGACCCCCCTTTACTTAGTGGAAGATGCCAGAAGCAGCATGAGAAACTTAACTCCAGAAATGCAACCGAAGGCCACAGAACAATTTCCACTCTTCAGGACCCGAGGAGGGACCACCTTAGGGTGGTGCAGAAGGAAACAGGTTTCTTCCATTCCCTGAGCTGCTCCCCGTTGGGCAGCAACAGAGGGTGCTGCAAAGCTGTGGGAGGATTTGGGTTCTCAGCATCTCTCCCTTCCACACTGAGTGACACGCACACTGCTTAAGTGGATTATTTAGTCATTCAGCTACCATTTATAATAAAGGAGGATTAAAACACAAAGTCAGCTAACTCCCAGAACAGCCCTCAAGAGGTTAACATCTGTAATCTGTTAGGAGCTTTATAGCAAAATTACACCCGTCAAGTTTTCACTCCAGTGCATACATGGGCTGCCCCTTTTTGTCAAAAGTGCAGGCTCCCTCGTTTTACACTGTCTCTGTCATCGCTGTCCAGGCAGACAGTGCAGTACTGCAGTATTTGCACAAGTCTAATTTCTGGTTTTTAAGCACAGTCTGAAAAAAAATTGAAAGTTTTTAAACTACAAAAGTGAACCACCTGCAGTAATTATTCTAAAAGAACAATTCTGGGGAAAAAACATCCTTCTTAATTAATCACTTGCTCATAAATAGGCCGTTTCTCCCTACAGACAGCAATCGGACTTCCTTTTGCAGGTGCTGTAGGGAATGTCTCTGCCATAGGCAACTTCCTATTATCAGGGCTAGGAAAGGATTATCTGGAATTCAATCCCACAGGAACCAAATCCCATTTGTCCTTAATGGCACTGTCACTGCCGTCGCAGGCAAACACAACCCTCAGGCGCACATACAGATGGTATCTTCCCACAGGATAATCTGTAGGAATTTTTCTAGAGAAGGGAAAAATTTGAACCTACTCTGACAGACGAGGTCACTTCTAAGGTTCACCTCTGAAATGTTCCCAAAGCACCATGACACGGGGACTACATCACCTGTGTCTGCAGTAAATTTAAAAAAAAATATTCACGGTAGGAAAACCATACCGAATATGTGAAATTGAAATGTATTGATTTTCTTCTTGTGCAGTGGCTGGAACTGCACTTTAATTGAAAGCCGCTTTAAAATAACAGTGATGCTGAAAAGACCAATCTTTTTTCAATAAAGGGACTCCTACGGTGCACTGCCTGCTGTTTACTTCTACAGGTTAGACACAAAACAAGTCCTAAAGTGAGTCATAACGCAGCAGTTTGCACAGACAGCTACAGAATGCAGTGCTGCCCCCCCCAAAGCTAAGGAACTGGCATTCATACAGCTTTCTGCTGCATCAGGTGATCCAGAGTTTGGTTTACAGGTATAAAAAAGGTTTTGGTGGTTTTCCTGTTGGCCTGCCTAAACTAGTTCCAAATATCCTGCAGAATGAAACACCACATCCATTTTCTCATCTGGTTTTCAACCCAAAGAGCCAAGAAGCAATTTGTCAAGCTATAAAACCCTTTGATACAAATTTACTTCCAGACTACTGAACTGAGATGACAGGCTCGCAAGCCTTAAGTAAGTCAGGAAAAGGGAAGGAAGCTGCTGGAAGAGAGAAGAAGTTGGCATACCTTCCCTTTGTTGAAGTAATGGATAATCTTACGGCACAGACCTTCCTTACGTTGCCACTCTGACTGAGATGGGTAATGCAGGAACTCTCTCAGAGGTCTGTCCTCCCACTGGAGCAACTCACAGTACAAAAGCAAAGTAAATGCAGCCTCTGTTGGAAATACAGTTATTGAACACTGAATGACAACGACAGCAAATAAACACAGCCGGGAGGTTGAAAGGTCATTTGACCTGCTTTTTAAACACCCTGCAATTTCTGATTTACAGTTTGAGAAAGAATTCTGACGCCCTAGATGATCATGAAGTTATTTAATTACTTAAAATAGCAGCACAAAGCTCTTTCCTGTGAATCTGACTTTTAGGTACAGATCTGTCAAGTTTGGTTTTACTAGCTCCTTGATTCAAGTGCGTGGTCAGATATTCAGATATCTAACTAGAGTTGGGGCCTGCAGCTGGAAAGAGAGCTTGGACAACACAGAATTGGAGTCTGTACACCTTCCAAGTGCTCCCTAAATGCAAGGAAACGTGGCAAATGGTAATATAACAGTGGGTTTGGGATTTTTATCTTCCTCTAATTTGATTCCACTGTTGTGATATTTTTGATCAATCTCCCTCATAGAACACTAACGTAAAATCCGGGGTGCAATGGAATAACCCTACGGTTGTGTGGGCACTGCCACACATGGTGTGAGTTGAGGGAGTGAGCTGGACCTCAGCTTCTTCCCAACTACTGTAAGTGATTCATATTTTTTTTTCCATGAGTCAGACATTAGAACGTAACACTGGAGGAGTCAAAAACTTCCACCAGGATTTCAAGCAGACCCCACGTGGCGTCCGACTAACCTGTGTAGTTCTCCGCCTGTAGGTGCATGTCACAGAGCTTGTGGATGTAGCGGATGTACATCTCTTCCTTGTTAATTTCGGATTTATAGAAATTCTGTGAAAGAAAAAAAGAGAGTTGTTACTCTTGGAGACTCTTTCTTTATTCGAGACAACCAGCAGCATCTGTGTGTGCGTAAAGGTATTGAAAAGGGAACACATCACTACTGTAACAGTTCTTTTCATATTCACGCTGATTTAACTAATTTTATCGTGTCATGTTTTTTTTTTTTTCCAAATGAAGGTAGTCAAAAGCTGAAAGAAAAGGCCAGAGAGGTTATAGAACCTCTGTGACAGGGATACTCAGAACTCAGCTGGACAAGGCCCTGAGGAACCTGACCCATCTGGCCCTGCTTTAAGCAGAGAGTTGGACCAGAGACCTCCAGGGGATCCTCACAATCCCTGTCGTTCTGTTCTGTCACCCCAGCGCTCAGATGCTGAAGCTACACTTGCCTGACACAGATTCCTATCCCAGCGTTTCCCATCCCAGTTTCAACAACAGTGCCCAGTATCACAGAGAGATAAAGGAAACATCTTTACCATCAGGTTAACAGTGCAGCCAATTTTCTTGTTTTCTGTTTCATCTCCTTTCATACAGTCCCTAAGAAAGCAGAGCAGTGTTGAAACATACATCAGCAAAAAATGACCTTTTTAAAATAAATTTGAAGCTGTCTTATCCTCCAGTTTCCTGGGATCACAAACAACAGTTAATTATGTCCTTTATTTTGTAAAGGTCCTCTGAGAAAAACTTCCACATTATGGCGTATGAGAACTGAGTGTCCTCTTACACGTCTGCACCTGAGAACAAGCACCCAAATCGACTACATTTCTTACAAGAACCTGAACAAAAATCAGACAGTAGTGGCCCTACATCATCTGAATGAAACCTAAATGATTATTTATCCAGATAAATGTTCAGCGGTTTCCCAGTCAAAGGATTAGCATTCATAAAGTCAGCTTTCCAGTGTTGTGGGTGCATGCTGAAAGATACAACCCACGGAATTCAGACTAGATCACTAACTTCTTCACAGGCAAGTTAAATCACAAAATCTAGCTCCAGTTTCTGGAATATTTTAGAAAATGTTTCTGTTCATGCAGCACAAGAAGTTAAAGGCTTCAGCCATTTCTGATCTGGACTTCAGCAAGTCACGTTCATTTAAAGCAGTGACACCGCAAACTCCTGGTAACTACTGTGTCACTGACTGGCCGCTGGGCTCCAAGAGATGCCTCTCTATTGCCAAATTCCGACGCAGTTCCCTGCTCTGTTCTGGGAATGAAAAAATCTGCTGGGTATTTAAAAAAAAAAAAAAATCAACACCAACCTGGTACCTGTCCCTCAACTAAGCATGAAAATGTGTGTCCGTGTATCAAAGCTGTGTTGATACAAAATGGCATTAAAAAAATCAGCTCCCTTGCGTTCCCTTTAAATGTGTCTCAGGTACCTGGTGGTTGTACAGCAGCTGTTTTCAGGAAAAAGGAGATTGGATCAAACCGACGAGGATAACAAAAAGAGCAAGCTAAAAAGCAGAGAAAAGGATTTGGGACTGCAGAACACCCAGCCTAGTCGCAGGCTTTCACCTACAATGAGCAGCTGCAGAAGAAAAAATTAATTGAACTCCTGTCAGTAGGCTAAAGATAGAAATATCTGGGGCAGTTCTAGAAGGTTTCAAATTGGCTATCATTCCATAAAAACAACTCTGAGTGTGTGTGTGTATATGTATCTATGAAGTTAAAATATTGTCTCCTAACTGAATCAAAGCTCCACTGACAACAGTCCTGCCAACGTCAGTCTAAAACTAAAGAAGGATGCCTAATTTATGGTGGAGTCTGGCACAGAGTCCCCAGCTGACAAGTCAGACTTGCCCCAGGTGAAGTTTCCCAACCCTGCACGTCTGGGCGAGGCGTCCAGCACGCTTGGCCCAGCAAGGCAGTTGAGATCCTTCTTGCATTTAGCACCTATTCTGCTGAATTAGGTGAGGCCATTTCAGTGACAGAAGGAATGAATTATTTTGCAACCTGGATAAGCCTTAGCTCAAAAGATGTCTTTATCTTTGCTCTTATCAGGAACGAGCATACACAAATGAGAATTAGGGCTGTAGAGATGAGGATCTTGGAGTTTTGCTCAGAACCCTGCAGCAATGAGTTTGGCTTGGTTACCTAACACTTGCCATCACAGCAGCATGCAGCTTGATAAACAACAAAAATATTCCCTGTAGAAAAGAAATTTGCTACTGATTTTTTCCAGACTTCTTATGACTGTATTACTGTGGCTGCCAGATACCTGTAATCAAGCAGACGCTCCATGAGACGAGTAACTGAAGTAACAAAGGAGATTCCAGTCTCCCGCCATGTTTCCTGCTCAATCTTCTCCAGCAAACTGTTAGGAGACGGAAAGACAAGCAGATGAGGCCTCCAGGGAAATGGTATGGTGTGTGCAGACAGCTGCAGACAATGTGGTTTCTCCCCCATAAAACAAATCCATAGAACAACTGTCTTACCTGGGATAAGGCCCAAAGAGCTGGGTTCTACTCCAGGCAGCATGAAGCAAAGACAGGGAAATCACAGAATTGACAGGAGAAGGCAGAGTATCTTCACATTGCCATTTAAAATACATGAAAAAGAGCAGTGCTCGTGGCAACAGTTGATTCCCACGTTATTACATGTAGGTTGAATACTGCTAACAGCGGTCAGAAGTTGGAAGGGAGTCTAAACCTACTCTCCAGGGCAAATACCTCTTCTTTGCTCATCCCAGCATAAATTTTTGTCTCTCATCAGCAACCAACCAACCTTGAATCACAACCTATGTAAACTTTAAGTAAGGGCAATCTGTTCCTGCTCACCCAACTAGACAACACAGCAAGCGTCTTGCAGACAACCGTGTAGAATAAGGGAGGGCTGCAGCGAGAACACTGTGGATCATACTTCAAAAGTGCAAATGTACGTGCTGGTTTCCTGAAGCTGGATCTCCAGTCAAAGAACTCGCCAGCTCCGTGCTGGCCAGAGGAAAGAATTTCTGCTGGTGTCATATGTGTCCTCAGAAGAGGCAAACTCTTCTGTACTGGAATGATTTCCAGCTGAGGAGGCCGATTCACATTTCAGCAGTACAGTTGAGACAGTAGAATTTAGAATCAACTGGTTATTTCACACAGCACTTATTAACTTAGTGGAATTGTTTCCTCAAAGTTCACACTGTTCTCAGAAAAGTCAGTACCAAATACGAACTAAAAGGTTGCTGGGCTTCCAGGCTGTTTCTTGGTAACACAACCAGGCACTATCATCTAAAAATAAGTAACAAGCTACAGTCTCTGAATTCTTAATTCTTTCAGGTAACATGTCTTCAGCTGGAGCAGAGGAAATGCAAATATTCCTCTTGCCTGGTGAGTAAAAAAATAATGGTATTTTCTTTCCCTTTTCCCTGAAAGAGACTTGTGTTATCCATACACATAACATGTCAGGCTTCCCAAGGCTGAATATACACAAATCAAGACTGAATACATTTACATGCTTCCTACAGATGGGCAGGCTTATCTGTCTCAAAAATGAATGGATGTGCTGTTGTAAATTCAGAAATACAAGTACTGGTTCTAGCAAAACAAAGTTTTATGCCTCAAACTGCCAGCATGCTATTCGGGGTTGCGTAAAATTGTCCGGAGTATACAGACAATTCTGCTAATGATCTCCGTGACTCACTGGAATATTAAAAGATTTAGGGTTTAAGTTTATCCTCAGAAGTGTGGATTTTTGGTGTGAAAGGGAGTGAAAACACAACATCACGATGGGTTCTGAAGGAAGCAATGTGCGACTTCTGAGCCAACCAAAACATGACCTTCAAAAATTGGAAGAAACAACGGAAAGTGCTGAGGCAGATCTGTTTCTCTACCAAGGCCTGACTCGCTGGACAGTACACTGCTCCTCTGAACAGTCCTAAGGCCGTGATTGCACCTGCTGCTAGGTAAGAAAGGCACCCGGGCAAATCCATCTCTGATAGGAGGATGAGAACTACTTACCAGTGCAGCCTTACATTAGATTTCACACAAAGACGACAAAGACTAATTTAGGTTTCTGTGTTCTTTTCAGAATTAGTGACATACTTCTATTTCACTGAGCCATGAAACCTGCCAGAGAGCCCTTTGCTGCCTTCTCCGAGGACAGCACTGTAGCCGCGGCTGCGCAGACCACCGCTGTCTCTCGCAGGGACCCTGCGCAGCACAGAGTGAGCAGAAAGTGGCGTAGCTTACAGCAGGCTGAAGAGTTCCCTGTAGTTCTCATCACCTTTTCCTTCGGATACCAGGCTGTCCAGCTTATCGATCAACTCCGCTTCCACCTGGAGGAAGAAGCAACTGGTTACAAATCGTGTGAAGAGGAGAGTTCCGAACACAGGGCGACTGACTGGAAGGATATTTCAGTTCTCACGCCCTGAGGCTGCCACTTCTGCGTGCCAGTGGTTTACTTCTCTGCGGCTCCGTTACATGGACACACTTTTCTCCTTCTTCAGTGAAATAGGAGGACTAAAAGGAAATTATCCTTTTGCTTATCAGGGTCTAAATGAACATCCCAGGGGAAGTAATGCTGCTGCTTCACAGGAATTTCTGAAGTTGATTCTCTTACCAAACAAATCACTTGGGGACCATTCTGTGAACCAGTGCATCAGATAAACTAGAGCCTGTACTCTGACAGGATATCCACGTGTCGCGGCGTGATGGCCCCTGGACTCCTGTGATGGTTCTGCTGGCAAGTAACTGATTTCCAATCATCATTACATGGGAAGATTATTTGTTCATTAAACCCAGTTTTGTCAAGCCTCTCTGATTAAATGACGCATTTTTTTTTCACACTTCTATAAAGGGCCACAACAGTATCATTAAGTTTCTCTGCCCTTACAAAGGTAGTGAATATGTATTCATTTCCCCCAGTCTAATACATCCTGTTATCAAGTTTGGTATCAGATATTCCCATAAAATTGATTTAAGAGCAGAAATCAACGTATCTAATGATTTCATGTAGCCTTGGAAATCTTGTAGAAAACATACTTTCAGCACTAATGAAGACAGAGGTTCCTAGAGGTTGAAACTGTTTGTAGGAAGACGGCTTGTTTTTATTTAACGACAAGCACAGTTTCTTTATGTTTTCCAGCTGCCAAATTGCAAAGGAAGCAAAGAGAAGGAAAAGCCAATCAGCCAGTGGCACACAAATGGAGCTGATGCGCTTGGTGCCGAAATCATTAAAGGGAGACCTGATTTAGTCATGAATCAGACTGCATTGTTACCCAGCACCACTGAAAACTAACCTTGTTAAAGCAGAGCTGCTGCAGAAAATAAAAAAGGGCTGGAAAATGAATTTCCAGGATTTTTTTATATTTTCTGACAACCAATTTAGTATTGAAAAAGTAAAGACAGGCTCAAAATTAAACACAACCTCTCCTCTCTCTTTGCTTGTGGCCTACAGTGACTCGGCAGAATCAGTCAAGCATCAGTCTAGCGTTCCAGTGGACAGCACACGACTTCCCGGTCCCAGCAGCAAATGTGAGTCCGGCCCGCTACAGCTTGTGCTATTGCACCGTTTCTTTCATTCTCCCCACTGCAGATCGTTCCTCTGCCTTCCACCTTAGAAAGTTACGATATAAGCTTCGTACAGCAGTGCGGAAATTTGCTCCACAGGTAATTTAAGAAATGTTCTTGGGGCTCTGGTTTAGAATCCATTAGTGAGTATTAAAATTAAATTAAGATTGTGAAGATGATGGGGAGTTCATCTTGATAAAGTATAAACAGGTCTAGAAACCCAAAGACTGTAGGTGCTTGTAACTGTAAATGTCAGAACAGGGACTGTTCTATTCTTACGTGAAAAGAATCAAAAAGAGGACCACGAGCAAATGCTACTGTAATGATAATAGTAGTAAATAATGATAATAGTAACAATCAAGGGAGTTGAAGAGGAATGAAAACAAGCTCCTGATAATACTTTTCCACACAGCCTTTAATAGGTCAGGTTGTGGAAAAGGTCTGTTATTCTCCAGGAATGATAGATTAAATCTGGCATTTTAATGAGTTTGTGGATAATAATCACATGAATTATGACACTTTAAATACAAGGATTTACTCCTTCAGAGCACTTATCTGCAGATACTCGCCCTCAGTACTGCCCCAGAGACAATGACGCACTGTCACCTGAGGATCCAGTCCGAACCAATCCTTCATCGTTAATACTTTGCACGTCAGGGATCTCTTTTGCAGTGGAAAATGTAAGCGTTTCTCTGACCGTGACTGGGCAGCAGAATGATGAAGCCTCCTCTCCCTGTTCTGCAATCAGAGCTCACAGCAGGTGGAGACTACAGAAGTGCTGTCGGGCATAGCCCTTCCCCGAGAGCTGCTACCATTTCTTAGAGCATACAGAGGCACAAAGCCTGTGTCAAAGCATGGTAGTGTTATTCAGTTAAGCAACACCCCTTTCTAGCTTTTCACAAACAGTGGCTAAATCTGAACATGGCCATTTTTGGTTCTCAGCCTGAGCCATTTAAGGGATGCCTCAGAACCTAGGTGAAACCGATGGGAGCAGGGAGAGCCCAGCACTTGGGAAAGTCCTTTCCCTTTCCCATCTCCAAGGAGATGAGCACATTGCTCCTCTTCTCTGTGTTCACGGGAAATGTAGCTTGCTGGGAAGCGCACTGTTTAAATCATCTTGGGAGTCTTGTAATAGTTGTGAGAATTATACTTCAAAGTTTCCATTTTTCTGTATTTACACGACCACATCATCTTCACCATCAGAAGCTGATCAGAGACACAACCTCTGTGCTTCCAGCTGGACATTGCAGACAGACAGAGGGACAGAAAGAACAAAGCACGTGCGTGGGAAGCAACCTCACCTGTTTGAAGTTGCCATTCTTCCTCTGCTCCCAGTCCATCATGTCGTGGAAGATAGGGATCATGATATTCCGGACTTCTGGTTGTGGAACAAGCGTAACACCAAGAAAGGGGCCAATCATTCCCGGAATAAAGTGAATCTTATGCTCACCTGTACAACACAAAGCAGCTGTCATTAAACAAAGGCCTTTGTTATCTGTCACTGAGAAAACGGGCGACACACACAAAGCAGGAGGAACGAGCATTAGAAAAGCAAGCACATTCTTCTCCTGAACGGACTGGAGAAACAACATTTGCTTTACACCATTCCTTGCAAAATCTCTAAAATCCCGTTTCATTTCACTGTGAAAGCCTTCAGCAAAAACTGTCCCTGCATTTTACTTGCAAAGGAGTTCAAACTGTCAAAAATAACCAAACTAAACCAGACAAACTATGGGGAAAAGAGGCCACAGATACTTCTAATTTATGAAGAAAAACATTTGAAAGGGCTGGTGAGAATAATGGTATTAAATGGAACATATTTAGATTTCACAGAGCTCCTCATCCTCAGTGCCATGGATGTCTCAATTTCAAAACTGACCTTGGCTTAGGACCAAATTGTGTTGATTCTCCGCAACAGAAACCCGAGGCATTTTGCTAACAATGTCTCCTGTGACATGCTTACTGTGCAGTCGCAGAGAAAAAAAGTCAAAATAGCCATATTTAGAACAGAGTCAGTGATAAATATCTGTAGCTTCATATCTAAAATGGGCTTCTCACTTCTGATCTGAATTTGTCTAGCATCACTTTCTGGTTATTTGACCCCTGCTATATTGGAGAGCCTTCTGTTCTCCACACAGATGCTTAGAAGCTGTGATCAAGTCTGGCTGTATCATCTTCGTTGTGCAAGATGCGTCAGGCTTATTCACTGTTTTATAATAAGGCATTTTCTGACTTCTGTAGTCATCTCCCTGACTGTTCTCTGAACTTTGGGCAGCTTGGCTTGGGTTCTGTTGGTGGATTTTTATTTCTTTTTGAGCTGCAGGTAGCAGAACTGGTGATTCAGATGATTATCAGCATGATACACTTGTAGTCTTTGTTTACTTGAATAGCCCTCCCACCAATATTCCTACAAATAAAATGTTCATATTCGGCTTTTTGAACACACCATTTGCAGCCACCTTAGCAAGTTATCCAATCTGATGTGTATCATTCCTTTGCCCTCTACATGATTTACCTGTTCTCAGAACCCTGTAGTATTTATGATCTTTATCAGCAAACATTTTTACATTTTCCTGTACATACTCCTTCCTATATGCTTCCGTAGTCCTCAAACGTTTCCATAGGTATCCAGTTTGGCCCCGACGGACAAAGGATACTGGCCTAGCTGGACTTGCTTTGGTGCAGTACATGTTATTTGGCTCTTCTATTAACAAAATCCCTAAACTCAAGACTGCTGCAGCACACCTGTAAAAGCACAAGTCCTAAATGAAAAAGTCACCATTTACCTTTCGAGACCTGTGGTGAGATGTATTTTGAAGTCTGAATTATGACAGCTTTGGCTTTTGAATCAGCTACAAAATTATAAAGTTGTTATAGCTGTGAAAATTTAAATGTCTGCTTTATAGCCACGGATCAGACAAAAGTCAGAGAGCAACAGTCCGTCTCCGTATGAACCTGACTGCAGCACTGTTGACGGGATTAGAAAAAGCTGATTTTATATTTGCCACATCTGAGAAGAAAGCATTCAAATTCACAGGAATGTATGATTTCAAACAGAGAAGTATGATGAGACGATGCGGAAGAGTTTTCGGTGGGCGAAGTGCTTCCTGGTTGCACAACTCTTAAGAGAAACTACATATTCTGTGATGCTACAAAAAGTGAAAAAAACCAACTCCAACAGAAATGTGGGATTGCATTGGCTTTGGTTGTTTGGACAGAGAAGGGAGTGACATACCCAGGTTCTGCCACATGCTGAAGAGCTCGTAGGCCATCATCACTCTCATATCGCCGTATCTGCAGGAGAGGGGATAAGACAGCTGCCTGGTGGAACACAAACTGGCAAGGCAGTGATGTGAAAACTCAGAAAACCCCACAGACTCACATGCAAGTCAACACCATAACATCCAACACCTTGACTAATCACCGAGCACTGTATTAGGACATCTACGTGTTTACTTCCCAAGCATTCCAACATCCCAAGTTCCATAACAAATCACAGGGACTTGCGGTAGGAAAAACAAATCTCATTTTTGAGGTGGCAGAAAACACTGGGAACTCAACAAAAATGTTCTTACTTATCCAGAATCTTCTTCCTCTTCGCTGGGGTGGCATTTTCTAGTTGGAGACTTGGCTGGTTTATAAATAAAACGGCCAGGCTGAAATAAGAGTTCCACACCTGTGAGACAGGAAGAAAGTTCTGTAAGGTGACACCACAGGGAGTAAGTTTTACACAAGTATAGGAAGACACAATGTTCCTTTATTTGCAGAATCGGACAATTCTTTACTGTAGTGAAGCAGTAACTTAATATGTATCTCAACTACTAAGATGATAAACCCTCAGTGGATTATTTAAAACCTGGTAGGAACTAATATTAAAAACCCCAAGAAAGTACTGTCACAGGGCTTTCCTCCTAGCACTGGAGTTCAGACTTTGTGACCTCAAGTTTTAAATCACTTTATTTCTGTAGGCTAAACAGATTTTGCCCCTCAGAAATCCCCAGAGGTTATACCACATCACGAATGAGCGCCCTGTAATTTAGTCCGGTTTCCCAAGAAAGGAGGCTTTGCCCCCGTGCTGCGCGTACACGGGCCTAGGCGCACGGCTGGCTGCTTTTCCTTAGGAACACCAAACTGGTTGCCCGTTGTCAGCTGCATCAGGCACAGGGAAAACACCCTCGAAGACACTGCGTTCTTCCAAGTTTTAAGTCAACAGCCAGGAGGAGAGACCTCTGGGAGAGGCAGAGCGGGAACGCCCCAACTTCAGGGAGAGCACTGCCCGAGTCTGTTAGCCGTGAATCCGTAAGACAGGATGCATCATTAGCTCCACTGCTCATGAACATACTCGTTTCCTTTGCAAGGGGCTCAATTTTCTTGACCTGATCTCACAGTGTATCTGTTCTGCTCCCCCTCAATTCCACAGCGGATTAGAATTCCTGTCTTTTATCAGTTAGGGCACCTTCCTCACAGACACCGAAATAAGTGCTGCAGATGGCTGGTGCAGAGGACAGCTCTTTGTTACTGCTACTTCAAAAAGGTGTCTGAACATGCTCCGAGTAGCAAGTCTTACTTTAAAATCGAAGTCCGTTTCCGTGAAATTCTTATGCAGGGCAGAAGACAGGTACTGAACAGTGGTAACTATGATACTGCAATCAAAAACAACAACAAAAACAGAACGTTTGAACCTGGAGTACAACGTGTTACAGTGGTCTGTATTTTACTGCACGTACAGAGAGGGGCATCCTTCATGCAGTCACTGCTAGATTCACACAGGAGTCCTCGATCTTTCCGTCTTTTAATAAACAAACTGTACTAAGTGACACAGATTAAGAATTCTCATCGTTATTGTAACTTTTGGAATTTACACAGGAGCATTTAAAATCCCGTTGAGGTTGCATGGCGGGGCCTTATTACCTCCAGTGACACCAGAGAACACACCCATCTTCCTTCTGTCTTAAGCATGGTTTTTTTCCTTTCCACCAAGGAGAGCAACTCCGGAAGTTTGAGCTGCTTCCATTCCTGGCTGTACAACGGTCCTTTACCTGGCACACACCTCAACTCAAGATATTTGTGAGTATTTTACCAATTCTAGATTCCTTGGTATTTTTTTTTGTGGATAGCTACATGCACCTTAGGCAATCAAGGCATGCAATCAATTCAGGCATTAATAACCAGAATGTAGGTAAGGCAAAAGAAAAAGCACATCTCTCATGCCCAGGAAAGCCATACTTGCAGTAACACTGCCAAACCTACCTATCTGTCTAAAGGGTCACGGCAAAATTATGCCAAAGGGAACTCGGTAACCCTCAGCATCTGCGGGAACTACTCTTTTGTGGGGGTTCTGGTGAAATCCCAAATCCACTTATTTCCCTTCTCATTAGCACAGGGAACTCGCAGCGCATACAGCTCAGCCGAGCAGCCAGCCTTTTGCAACACTTCCACGGCGTCTCCCGGTAATGGGAACCCCTCCAGCTGTCAGCCAGCAGTAATTCTGTAGCTGGTTTACCTAAAACTAGTGACTAATTCCAGCCACCCTGTGTCCATCACACTGCTGCCATTCCGAACAGCATGGTACTTCACCAATCAGATGCAAGAAAATCAGATAAAATTAAGCATTAAGACGGTCATGTCAACTTAACTGAGAAATAACTCTGCATGTAATGCATCTGCTGTCATCGCTGGGGTCTGCTTCCCTTTTCTAAAGCACCCGAGTCCTCCTTCTAGATAGGTTAAGGAGTGGAGTCATGGGGAGAGACGGAATTTTAGTGTAGAACTGACTGAGAGAGGGAGCCGCGAGGCCTGCCCGTTAGTACCGCTGTTCTGGCCCTGTGTTGTGGCAGCCGCTGCGCCACTCTACCCTCAACACGGCTACTTCAGCGCTGGGTTTCAATTCTACCTCTCTGACACCCGTGCGTACGGTGGGGGAAGAAAGAGAAGTCCCAGCGTGGTCCAGAGCATTAAAGTAACTGCAGAAGGAGGATGAGCACTCCAGAATTCCCGACACAATCACCACGTCTCGGGCTGATGAAACAGGCGGCACAGCAGGTGGTAACTGCCCAGATGAGAAGAAATTCCAACAGAGCACACCAACAGTTCCTACCCGCGTCTCTACTTACTTGCTGGTGAGCAACCTCATCACCATCCAGTCTCGAGGAAAGACACTCATTTTCATCAGGTTCCGAAATACGCAGAAAATCTTCAGGAGGAACTCCTATCACATAGGGGAAAGGAATTATCACCAGCAGCTGCAGATTAAACGGTTTTCTTGTTTACAAAAAGACGAGAAGTGTGCCCCGTTTGAGCTCTGTGTTACTAGGCCATTCACCTGAAGACACGGAAGCAATGCATACTGGGATACGGCTCCGCTCATTTGGTATGCATCTAATACACACTGAACAAACTGCAGCTGTCCTAAATAACCTCTGCAGCGAGCTGAACGACTTCCTGACGTGCAGGACTGTAACATCACCTCTCCTGTTACCATCCAGAGTTTCAGAGTCAATGTGCAGCTATTTTCAAATACACTAGAATCATAATCATTTATTTAGGCATTCATTTAATTAACCTATCTGTCCAAATTTCTTTGTACTTTATGCCACAAATTCGACAAGAAACCACGCACCCAAAATTAAACTCCTACGTACGCCTTTAAAAATAGTAACAGAAAACCCTGTTTCTGGCAATACCCAAAAGCAAAGATCTCTCAAACACATTCAGCTGAATATTGGCTTTCCAGAAATACCCCCAAACCTGAAGACATTTCACTTGTTCACAGATTTTTGACTACCTGCCCCTCCGTGTCTGCAAAGAGCAACAGTGAGGGTAAAACATGCCGAGCTGTTGGCCTTGTGACCCATGGTTTTACTGCTGTGTTTTTCCTCTCCACAAAGTCAGCACAGGGCAGGAAGCGGCAGTGCAAGGTTTCTGCAAACCTGTCCTGCCACTGCGCATGAACTGGCGGGAGGAGAGGAAAGATCCGGGTGTAACTGAGCTAAGAGGAAAGCTCCCGAAGCTCCTTGACTTTTGGCCTCATTTGGCCTAGATGTAACAGTGGAAATGGAACACCTTGACTTTTCATCCAAGAAAAATTACTGGAAATACTATTAGAGCAGTATATGATGGAAAAAAGAGGGTAATGTATTTTATTAGGTCAACTGACAGTTGGAAAAAAATTTGGGTATAAAACCTTCAGCCTCTGTGATACTCCTCACAGCCATCCTTAGATTGCCACATCCAACAGTGTTTGCTCTTAGGGGTGTAAAACCAAACTTCAGCTCCACAACAAACCTTTTCACTGCTCGGACGCAGGAGCTATAGTTCAGAGAGCTCTTAAAAATAGCTTTTAAAAATCAATACGAATTAATTCACCAAATCACTTTTTGATGAGCAATTTGAAAGTTACCTGAAAGAAAGGAATCTCACATAACTATCAACCTGAGAAACCTCTAGATTGCAGGGTTCAGTGTAAGAATTATATAATCCCAAATTTATCTCCCTGATTTATTAATGAAATACTCAGAAGCTGAAAGCCTATTCAGAAAGGACTTCTCACTGCTTCTTCACTTCATTTTAATATTCCTGCCACATTACATTCTTCTTCTTCCCCATATTTTACTGAGTGCCATGCTAATCAAAAGCATTTTATATAAAATCTTGTCTTTATGAAACGATTCTGCCTTTTAACAGACTGTTGTCAGGGGTACTCCTCTTTCCTAAGGAAGTTGAGAGAGCAACTTAGTTTCTGCTGTTTTGAGATGTGCCATTTCAAAATGTCTGCGGCAAAAAGGCCATCAGAGAGGTCTGTACCCCTCACCAACCCCTTCTGTTCACAAAAAGCCAGAATTTACGTTCATGTTCACAAATCTGGGAAGCATCAGACTGTGGCGCAGTAAGGTTACTGCTCTCCCAAAAAAAGATCTCATCTGCTAGAGACATTTGTATCCCCAGAAAGACTTGAAATTCTCTTTTGGCATAAAGCGAACACCCTTGGTGAGTAACGAACATCTAGTAAAATGCTACAGAACTGACCACACTCACGGATTAAACCCCCTGTTCCTCTATGTACAGTACAAAACATCTGTCTTGGGAGTTTATTTGCAGTTACGAAGAGAAGTCAGTGCCTTGTGGTCTTAAATGTTTTTGTAACACAACACCTATCGCTATCAAAGCAAAAGGAAGGTCCACGAGTAGAGTGCCAGCGCACGGGAATGATTAGCACAGCAAGTAGTGCTGGAGGGACTCCCCTCTGCTCTCCCCCCTCGGAGTGAATCGCCCCACAGACACGATGCCGTACCTTTAGTTCATCCTTGCTCTGGAAGTTGTCCAGTAAGTGCTGGAAATGAGTGTCTGACATCTGACGAAGCAAAGAGAGAAGGCAGGAGACATACTCTCCCTGTTGACCGAATGAGAAACTCTTTCACTCAGAGAATCTGCAATGTCACAAATATAAAACGCAACCTGGGGTAAGGTAAAAGGGAGGGGTCTGAAATGGCCCCGATGCCTATGAGAGGAAAGCTGACATGCACAGAGATTAAAAATACGGCATGTTAACAGGCCCTCAATTACGGGTAACACATGGGAATACACCTCTTAGAGGCTTCTCCACAGATGGCAGTTTTAACGATCTTTGAACCAACGGTGTGGTGGTCTACACAAAAATAATTTAACACAACCAATACAGACGTTAACGAATCGCCCTCCAAGCATGCAGTTCTTGACAATCACCCTTCTCAGTTACTTAACGCCCTGTGCCTGTCGAAGGCGTGACTGCAGCTCATGCAGATGTACCAGGGACTGTTTAAACTAATTGGCTCAGATACTCAGAACGGTATCGCGACGACAGCATGGGATTAGAATGGCCTACAAAAGGTGTCTGCAATCTTGTCAGGATTTGGCTTTCGTTCACCACACGACGTGCTGTCACAGCTACGCTACCAACAGCATTCCAGTGCGAGATTCTGGATGTAGTTCGGGGAAGCCTACATGAGCTACAGTTACGCTTCTGGCTTGCGATGCACCCTAACCAGTTACCACAGTATCCCAAAGTGTTTTCCAAAGATGAGCTCCCCCATTTTACATATCTGAAAGCAAAACACAGAGAAGTTAAGCAATCTATCCAAGATAACAAGCGAGGCAGTGCCAAGAACGTAAGGACTGTGTCTGCTCACTGCCAGTGCCTCGCACAGCACTACGTCTGTCTGTGACAGTGACAGTTTGGAGAATACACAAACCACTTCCTAAGCAGTGCCTAATAGGATTCCACATATCGCTGTGCGGTGAAATGTAAATTCAGGAATAGATACAAGGGGATTTTAGACTTGGGAAAGTCCATTCCATCTTAATTTTTCTGTTTTTCTAATCGGCTCAAGCATCTGCCCAGCAGCTTTGACAGGGGTTGTTCCAGCAATTACAGGGCTGAGCCTCGTTAGGAAAAAAGGGGTGCTCTTACGCATGAGGTGGCGTGGGATAAGTAACAGTAGATGCGAGGAGTAAAAGGAAACTGAGATGTTACTGGACATCTGCAAGCTTGTTTTGTGTCGAAGAACCGGTCTGAAAACCACCAAATGCCTTGTTCTCTATGAGGATTCTACCATTTGTTCCTTTATCTGAGCTAACGTGGAAAGAGTCAACCTTCTCTCGGGTTCTTCATCTGCCCCCAGCGCCACCCTGGAGGTTTCAGCTGTTTGATAAAAAGGCCAAGTCTAAGGAGACAGATGTTCTGAACAACAGCTTAACATCAGACATTATGCAAAAGCTGCACCGGAGACTCTGACAAATAAAAATAGGCCTAAAACAGGCTAGAATAGAAAAGGGCAACAAGTCCCAAAAGGAAGAAAGCCGGACAGCAAAATTCTGTTATTTTTCTCCTCCTCCACTGCATGTCAGAGAAGATATTTCTTCCCCTAGGCTTGTGCTGGCAGTCTGGACAAAGTGGTGGCTTTTCCCTCCTCTCCCACCAAGCTCAACAGCTCCCTTGGCTTAGGATCTGTTACTGCTTTTTCGCAAGTCTGTTGCCTTGCACTCGCATAATCAGTGAGCCCGGAGAGAAGCTCCCCAGGTATTGAGCCAAGGGACTTGTCCACTGAGCACGACGGTATTCTCCACCGTAGGAGTCGGAGCCAGACACTCCTGTAGCCCTTGGCGATGCCTGTTTAGGGGTGCAGCCCAGGCAGCTACCTGGCTAGCATATGCCTCAAGTTCTGGGCAGTAATCTCAATCACAGCTGCAAAGATGAGAAAATAACCTGGAAATCCACAAAAGCTGCCCGAGCTCCACTGCTGCCCGCAGACCTCCTCCTGCACAGGGGAGGGAATGGGTTTGGGGCTCATTAAGGGCAAGAGGCC